GGAGGAGGAGGAGGAGGGCGTGGAGAGGGAGTCGTGGGATGGGGGGGGAGGGGGGGGAGGGGGGAGGAGAGGAGGGAGAGAGGAGGAGGGGAGGGAGAAGATGGAGTGACAAGTCGGGGGAGGAGGGGTAAGGCTGAGTAGCGGGAGGCGTTTTAGTGGGGAGTGGGAAGGAGAGAGGAGGGAGAGGGGATGAGGAGGAGGGGGAAGGAGGTGGAAAGTAGGAGGAGGGAGGGGAGGAGGGGGCGGAGTGAGGAGGAGGATGGAGGATGGAGAGGATGAGGAGGAGGAGGAGGGGGAAGGGGGAGGAGCGGGGGAGGAGGAGGAGTAGGATGAGGAGGGAGGAGGAGAGGATGATGGGAGGAGGAGGAGGAGGAGAGGGAGAGTGGAGTGGTAGGGGGAGGAGGGAGAGGCTAGGAGGAGGAGGGTAGGAGGAGGAGAGGATGAGGAGGAGGGGATTGATGAGGGAGGGCGGAGGAGGAGGAGGAAGGAGGAGGAGGCGGATGCTGGGCACCTGTTCCGCCTCTGGCTCTCCACCCGATGCGCGCCATCCCCGGAACGCTACGCCCTGCCCCTCTGGGCCAGGCTCCTTCGTCTTCGTGGCCGGCCGGGAGCACCAGAGGAGACGCGCCCCCGCCCCCCCTAAAACAGGGCTAGGCGCGCTCCACGAGGTCCTCTACAACAGGGCTGGGCTCGGGATACATCGCTCCTCCTCCTCCTCCTCCTCCTCCTCCTCCTCCTCCTCCTCCTCCTCCTCCTCCTCCTCCTCCTCCTCCTCCTCCTCCTCCTCCTCCTCCTCCTCATATGATCGCGCCGCCTCTAAAACAGGGCTGGGATCGGGATAAATCGCTCCAGAGCGTTCCGGAGCGCTTTCAGAGCGTTCCGGAGCGCTCTGGAACGGCCGCGGCGCCCCATACATCCTCCAAACCCGCCGACTCTCAGAGATGACGAGTTCTCCCGATCCGATCTTGTCCCGATCGTCGCGTCGTTTGACCCCCCCCCCTCCCCAGCCTGGCCAGGAGGAGGAGGAAGAGGAGGAGGAGGAGGGAGGAAGAAGGAGGAGGAAGGAGCTCCGCGTCCACTCGTCGCCTCGTCCTCTTCCTCCTCCTCCTCCTCCTCCTCCTCCCCCCTCCCCAGCCTGGCCAGGGCGGGCGCGTGCACGGATGCCGGCTCGGCGCGGCGCTCTATCGCGCGCGCGCCCGCCCTCCGCGCGGGCGGAGGGCGGGCGCGCGCGCGCGCTGCCCGGCGTGCCGCGGGTCGGCCTCCGCGGAGCGCCGCGGAGAGCTTCCGTGGCTGCTTCTACAGTCGGGGGAGGAGGAGGAGGAGGAGGAGGAGGAGGAGGAGGAGGAGGAGGAGGAGGAGGAGGAGGAGGAGGAGGAGGCAGGCGGGAGGGCAGGGGGGGGGAGGGGGGAGTACAGTCGGGGCGTTGACCCAAGGAGCCCTAAATGAGGAACGAGGCCCCTTCTTTTCCAGAAGTTAGCCTTCGATTTCCGGTCGAAAACAGAAGTTACCCTCCTTTTCCAGAAGTCAGCCTTCCTTTCCAGAAGTTAGCTTCTACGGCCTGTTCCAGAACAGGCCCTCGTGCAGACGACGCCTCCGACTAACAGGGGGTGCGTCGACTCCTATCCAAGGCCGTGGAAGGTTTTCGAAGGGACCGGCAATGTCGGGCCCGACCCTGGGATATAGGATGGGGGGGCGCCCAGCCTCGACAGGGGTGCATCCGAATAGCCTCCTGGGGGTGTACAGTCGGGGCGTTGACCCAAGGAGCCCTAACTAAGGAACGAGGCCCCTTTTTGTTCCAGAAGTTAGCCTTCGCTTTCCGGTCGAAGACATCAGGAAAGCCCGAGGCAAGCTGCGAAACACCGAAGGAACGCGGAGCCCCTCCCCAACGAAAAGGGTTCCTTCTTCAGGGCCCCGACTGTACGGCCTGTTCCAGTTCCGAGCTCGCCCTCCCCCTCGTCCCCCCCCCCTCACCCTGCTCCCTTGCCCACCCCCTGGGCCCCTCTCCTCCCCGTCCTGCCCTCCCCTCCGCCTGCCTCCCACTCCCTCTCCTCCTCCCCCTCGCCCCCTCCCCCTTCTGTCCGAAGTTCCGAACGGGCATGAAGACCTCGGTGAACTGCACCGCGGCACGTGGGGGCGGCACTGCTTGTATGTGCATACGCGCATGCGGGACTTGAAAGCTTGCTCCGCTCCGCCCTAAATCTTGGCCCCAGGAGGCCGCGAAGAGGCCCCAGGAGGCCCCTAAGAGCCCCCTCTGAAGCCCTCAAGAGGCTCCAAGGAAGCCCCTAGGAGGCCCCAAGAGGACCTCAAGAGGCCCCCTCTTCTTCCTCCTAATCCTCTGCCTCCTCCTCCTCCTCCTCCTGCTCCTCCTCCCCTCCTCCTCCTTACTCATCAATAGCCTCCTTCTATTCACCTCCCTCTCCTCCGCCTCCTCCTCGTTCCTCCTCCTCCTCCTCCTCCTCCTCCTCCTTTCCTCCTCCCTGCTTTCCTACCTCCTCCTTCCTCCTTTCCTCCTTCCTCCTTTTCCTCCGTTCCTCCTTTCCTCCTTTCCTCCTTTCCTCCTTCCCTCCTCCCCTCCTCTCCCCTCTCCTCCTCCTCCTCCTCTCCTCCTTCCTCCTCCTCCTTCCTCCTCCTCCTCCTCCTCCTCCTCCTCCTCCTCCTCCTCCTCCTTTCCTCCTCTCCTCCTCCTCCTTCTCCTCCTCCTCCTTCTCCTTCTCTTTATCTTTATCATTGTCATGATCCTTTTCATTATCCTTCTCCTCCCTTTCCTCCTCGTCCTCCTCCTCCTTACTCTTCCTCCCCCAAGTGTTCCGCAAAGGGATTTCACAACGGCTGGGGTAACACATAGTCCAATCGATTGGCCAAGCTTCGGCCAAACGTTGGCCGCGTGGGCGTTTCCAAAAGGCAGGCGGCTGCGGTGATTCGCCGCAGGCGTCTTCCACAATACATACGCAAACGCACTCCCCCCTACCCCCTCCTTCTCATCCTACTCATCGTCATGCTCCTCCATTCTACCCTCCAGAAGCCGCTTAGAGCTGTGGCTGGAGGCCCTCCCCAGAACCTCCGAGGACATCCCAGCACATCCGAGTTCCCCCCTGCCTGTCCCTCTCCTCCTGCTCCCTCTTGCCATGCTGCTGCGATAAGACGGTTGGAGCGCTGACGCACCGGAGCGCCGGCGTCCTGGGAGCCCACTGCCTGGATCTCCGTTGGGTTAACCTGCTGCGGGGAGGGTGGGGATCAACGGCCAGCTCCCTCCTCCTTTCTCCTCTCCTCGTCACTCTTTCTCCTCCTTTCTCCTCCTCCTCCTCCTGCTCCTCCTTTTTTTCCTCCTCCTGCTGCTGCTGCTGCTGCTGCTGCTGCTGCTGCTGCTGCTGCTGCTCCTCCTCCTCCTCCTCCTCCTCCTCCTCCTCCTCCTCCTCCTCCTCCTCCCCCTCCTCCCTCAGTCTCATCATCCCTCCCCAGCCTCACGAGCTGCTGCAGGGAGGAATAGTAGGAGGGAGAAGGATGCGCGGTGAAAAGCACAAGCTTTGAGGAGACCGCGCAATCATGGGGGATGTCAGGGACAGCACATATTGCAGCCGATCCCTCGTTCACCTCCCTTGAGACCCCCCGCCCCTGCATCTGCGGCAACGGAGTGCAGCTACTCGCAATGAGCTTGCTCGCAGATCGTCCAGTGGATCCCCTCGTCGTGGGTGTGATGTGAGGTGGGGAGGCGCCTCCTCGTTTCGTCCGTCTGAGGTTTGCCACCTTGAACCAGGGTTAGGTCGGGCATGTCCTCCTACTGGCGGATTTTGTAAGACGAAGAATGCATAGTCCAAACATCAAACATAGCCACACACCAAAGCACGATAATCGTCACCAGACTTCTTCTACTATTCTTGAATATCCCCCCTGCAGGAGGACATGCCCGACATAGGCCTTGCGGTTGGTGGCGCACGGTCGCCGAGAGTGTTCGCGCGCGCCTCCGCGCGGCGAGACATCCACGGAGAGCGTGACCCGGGAGCAGAATCGGCCCGCGCCGCGAGGTCACGCGCGCGTGGGCTCCCCGATGGCCGAACAGGCCCTCGTGCAGACGACGCCTCCGACTAACAGGGGGTGCGTCGACCCCTATCCAAGGCTGCGGAAGGGTTTCGAAGGGACCGGCAATGTCGGGCCCGACCCTGGGATTATACGATGGGGGCGCCCACCCTCGACAGGGGTGCATCCGAATAGCCTCCTGGGGGTGTACAGTCGGGGCGTTGACCCAAGGAGCCCTAACTAAGGAACGAGGCCTCTTTTTTCAAAAAGTTAACCTTCGATTCCCTGTCGGAAACATAAGGGAAGCCTGAGGCAAGCTGTGAAACACCGAAGGGACGCGGAGCCCCTCCCCAACGAACAGGGTTCCTTCTTCAGGGCCCCGACTGTATCCCAGGGTTTCCCTCTGTTTCTGCGCGGCTTCTTTTTGGTCGAATCGTCGGGGGATGGGGGAGACTAGTCGCCTGCGGCCGACGAACATCAAGAACACTGACCCCGCAGCGGAGGCATGTCTTCTAGTTGCGCGAGGCCGCACGGCTCGGAGCAAGCAGAGCAGTCGTAGTGGCAGCGGGCAGGACTTGTAGAATTACACGCGTCGCCAAAAGAATCGGACTAACAACAAGCGTTGCAAAATGTGGGAAAACTGAACGTTCCCAAAGCCAGCATGCTGCCATAAATGGCATGATCTGTCACTGGTGGGCCTCTGGTGGCTGCACGGCTCTGGCATGCTGTGGATAGTGGGTAGTACGTAGTAATAGAAGACGAAAGCGCCATAGACATAATTTGTTGGCGGTCCGCGCGGATTTCTTGCATCTGCGGCAAGGGCGGCGCCGGAGGCGCCGCCAGGGGGGGCCCGGCGCGGATCCAAGAAATCCGCGCGGAGCGTCGAAAGTTTATGTTTATTGCGCTTTTTCCACTTCGAATGTAGTGAGCAAGCCCCCGAACTGTGCATGCACGAAAAGGTTCTTGCTGCTTGACCCCAATGTTGTTTCACGACGCGATCATGTCTGCGTCCTCTTCTTCGGCGTCCGACGGCGCGCGGCGACGCGGTGTAGCCATAGGGGTCGGCCAGCGGCCAACAGCACTAGGCCAAGGCGGCAGCACGGGCAGGAGCGACGTCGGCCCCGGCCGTGCGCGGGGAAGTAGTGTACACGCACGCGCAAAGAGGAACGCCCGTGGGCGCTCTCGTGGGCGCTTCGTGTGGTGGTCGGCTCGGGGTCTCACCCTGTGGGCGCTTCGTGGACGCCTCGTGCGCAGGATGGGTGGGAGCACCTTGCACATTGTCCTCCTCCTCCTCCTCCTCCTCCTTCTCCTCCTCCTCCTCCTCCTCCTCCTCCTCCTCCTCCTCCTCCTCCTCCTCCTCCTCCTGGCACCTGTGCCACTGGGTGCCCTCGGGCGTCCCAGGAAAACAGGCGGGTTGCAGCCCGATCGTCACCCCTGTTTGCCCGTAGTGAGCCAAGGGGGAAGAGCAAATTGCGCCTCGTCGCCATGTTATCCCACCCCTTGCGGTGACCCGGCACGTACACCGCGTGCGCCGGGGCGGGTGGGTGGTCCCCTGCGGGGGGCCCATGGTGGATCCACACCCATTCTTCCCACGGCCAGGGTCCCCCGCCCTGGCGTGCGTGGGGGTGTGCGGTCGCCCGAGGGAGTGGCGCCCCTCGGGTGGCTTCTCGGGGCGGCACGCCGAGTGTCGTATCGTCATGTGAGGGCAGTGCGCCCGCCGCCTCGGAATTGTCAGAACGCGCGGCCCGCCAAATGGCGTGCTGCGCGCGGCGCGCTGCGCGCGGCGCGCCAAAGTGCGTGTCGCCTGATCCACTCTTCGTGGTTTGGCCAGGGAGGAGTGAACATCTTAATGATGGAGGGACTCATTTGGCGGCATCAAGTTTTCTCGTGTTCCGCAAGCTGGCGGGCTCCACGGGTGGGCCTCCGGTCCCTCGTAGCCGCGCTGCTCATCGTGTTCAGGGGGTGCTTCTTTTAGAATCACTCTTGTGATGGCGGAAATCCTGGCAACCCTCCTCCTCCTCCTCCTCCTCCTCCTCCTCCTCCTCCTCCCCTCCTCCTCCTCCTCCTCCTCCTCCTCCTCCTCCTCCTCCTCCTCCTCCTCCTCCTCCTCTCCTCCTCCTCCTCCTCCTCCTCCTCCTCCTCCTCCTCCTCCTCCTCCTCCTCCTCCTCCTCCTCCTCCTCCTCCTCCTCCTCCTCCTCCTCCTCGCCTCCCTCCTCCTCCTCCTCCTCCTCCTCGCTCCCTCCTCCTCCTCCCTCTCCTCCTCCTCCTCCTCCTCCTCCTCCTCCTCCTCCTCCTCCTCCTCCTCCTCCTCCTCCTCCTCCTCCTCCTCCTCTCCTCCTCCTCCTCCTCCTCCTCCTCCTCCTCCTCCTCCTCCTCCTCCTCCTCCTCCTCCTCCTCCTCCTCCTCCTCCTCCTCCTCCTCCTCCTCCTCCTCCTCCTCCTCCTCCTCCTCCCTCCTCCTCTCCTCCTCCTCTCCTCCTCCTCCTCCTCCTCCTCTCCTCCTCCTCCTCCTCCTCCTCCTCCTCCTCCTCCTCCTCCTCCTCCTCTCCTCTACCTCCTCCTCCTCCTCCTCCTCCTCCTCCTCCTCCTCCTCCTCCTTCCTCCCCTCCTCCTCCTCCTCATCCTCCTCCTCCTCCTCCTCCTCCCCCTCCTCCCTCCTCCCTCCTCCCTCCTTCCCTCCTCCCTCCTCCTCCTCCCTCCTCCCTCCTCCCTCCTCCTCCTCCCTCCTCCTCCCCTCCTCCCTCCTTTCCTCCCTCCTCCCTCCTCCCTCCTCCTCCTCCTCCTCCTCCTCCTCCTCCTCCTCCTCCTCCTCCTCCTCCTCCCTCCTCCTCCTCCTCCCTGCTGCTGCTGCTGCTGCTGCTGCTGCGCCTCGTGGGCGCCCGTGGGCGCCGCACCCGACCTTAGTACGACGCAGCATAATTCCATAATTCCCCAGCCGAGGCCGGACCTCGAGGCCCCCGCCCCCCCCCTACGAAGCCTCCCAAAGAGGCGTCTTGTCCACGACCAGGGTTGGCCCCAAAAATACTCCAAGAAGCCATCGAGAGACCGCCTCCTCGTCCTCATCCTCCCCTCTTCATCCTCCTCCTCCTCCCCCTCGAGACCCTACAACTTCTTCTCGCTCGCCACGAACACACAGACATATAGCACCAGCGATACAATGTGGGCCGGCGGAATGAGCGAAGCGATTAAATAATTCCCCAGCCGAGGCCGGACCTCGAGGCCCCCGCCCCCCCCTTGCCATTGCTTCGAAATGTGGATTCGAACGATTTTTTCCCCAATCAGTTCGACAAAGAACCCGGAAACCCAAGAAACTCGCCGCCCTCCGAAATCGGCCCGAACCTCGAACCGGGAACCGGGAACCCGGGAACCCAGAAAAGGGAACCCGGGAACTCAGAGTGCGACCAACATCGGCGGGAAACTTTCGCCAAATCCTTCAACTTCCGCGAGGACCCCTTCAGTGCAAGCACTGATTGGCGAACATTTCCCGCCGATTCTGGTGGCAGGCTGGGTTCCCGGGTTCCCGGTGATTGGTTCTGGGCCGATTTCGGGGGGTTCTGGGTTCCTGGGCTCCTGGGTTCCCGGCGAAAACCATCCACTGATTGGGGCTTCTCTCTGGTGTAATCCATATCTACATGCAGAATGCGGTGGAGAACCCCTTGCGAAACTGTACTATATCATGGAAGCAAGGATTCCAAACATGTTCAAAACATGGCTGTTCAATTACATTTCAGAAAACCCAAGTAGTGGATACTTTGAACATTAATACTATGGATCTTGAGATCGATTGTGAGATCGATAGTGGAATCGATAGTGAGGACGATTATAAGGTCGATCGTGAGACCGAGACAATGAGATCGATAGTGAGATCGATCGCGAGATCGCTCATGCGATCTCTAGTGAGATCGCTTGTGAGATCGATAGTGAGATCGATTGTGAGATCGATGGTGAGATCGATAGATAAATGGGTAATGAGATCGATGGTGAGACCGATCGATAAGAAGATCGACAAAGAACCCGGAAACCCAAGAAACTCGCCGCCCTCCGAAATCGGCCCGAACCTCGAACTGGGAACCGGGAACCCGGGAACCCAGAAAAGGGAACCCGGGAACTCAGAATGCGACCAACATCGGCGGGAAACTTTCGCCAAATCCTTCAACTTCCGCGAGGACCCCTTCAGTGCAAGCACTGATTGGGGAATAGCTGTCAAAACCATTTCGTTGCAACAACTTGCACAACATGGCGACGCGCGCGAGATCGCTGAGATCACATGTAATACATAAGATGTTGGCGATTCTCCCAAAGTATAGCAGGCAAACCCCTCCCGCGCGCATGCAGAGAACGTCAAACAATCATCGCGCACCCGCCGACTCTGTCAACTAGTATCATGCGAACCACACGCGCGCGTCTGTGCGCGCGCACGTCGGAATCGTGTTGAAAACAGTTGCCGTTCTAAGAAGGTCAACAAGCAAGTGCCCAAACACATTCGAAACCCAAATGGTCGCTCAAGCGAACTTCTGTCAGCATTTCTGCGCGCACCTCACCATTGAGGGGCATGGCGAGGTGTGTGGCTGGGTCACATGCGGGCTGCGCCACTGGGAAATCGGTGACGCTCCCTATGGGGACGCGAAGCGTGTGAGAGGTGTTCCGAAAAGGGCATGCGGGCCGCGCCGCTGGGGCCTCCAGCGGAGCCCCCTAGGGGGCCACCAAGCGTGTGAGGGGTGTGCCGAAGTGGGCGACTGACACATGCGGGCTGCGACACGGGGGCCTGCGGTGGAGCTCCCTATGGGGCCACGAGGCGTGTGAGGGGTGTGCCGAAATTGGCGGCTGTGACGCATGCGGGCCAGTGGAACCTTCGGTGGAGCTCCCTATGGGGCCTTCCATGAAGATCCCTATGGGACCACGAAGCGTGTGAGTGGTGTGCCGAAGTGGGCGGCTGGGACGCACGCAGGCTGCGCCATGGGGCCCTCTGGCGGAAATCCCTTTGGGGCCACGAAACGTGTGACGGGTGTACCGAAATGGGCGGCTGGCTATGGGTACGCGAAGCGTGTGAGGGGTGTGCTGAAATGGGTGGCTGGGACGCATGCGGGCTGCGCCACTCCAAACTTCGGTGGAGCTCCCTATGGGGACGCGAAGCGTGCGAGGGGTCTGCCGAAATTGGTGGGGCTGGGACGAATGCGGGCTGCGCCACTGGGGCCTTCGGTGAAGCCCCCATATGGGAACACGAAGTGTGTGAGGGGTGTGCTGACATGGGTAGATCGGACGCCTGCGGGCTGCGCCACAGGGGGGCCTTCGGTGGAGCTCCCTATGGGGCCACCAAACGTGTGAGGGGTATGCCGACATGGTTGGCTGGGACGCCTGCGGGCTGCGCCACTGGAGCCTGCGGTGGAGTTCCCTAAACGTGTGGGAGGTGTGCCTGAATAGGCGGCTGGGACGCATGCGGGCTGCGAGTGAGCGAGATGGCTTGCGGGGGCGGGATAGCTTGGCCCCTCCCCTCTCCCTCTCCCCTGCGGCTGGAAAGGGGGGGGGGGGCGATGAGCCTGAGCACCCAAGATGGCTCCGAGAGGGGCCTCGATAGCCTAAGATGGCCTCCAAGGTGGCCTCCAAGGTGGCCTCCATACACAACAAAATGGCTCAAGATGGCCTCCAACGTGCCTTCAAGAGGCCACAAACCAACCCCACGACTGTCCAAACTGGCCACGGAGCCTCCCAAGGAGACTCCCGGGAAGCCAGCATATGGTTGAAAACCTTTGGTGTTTCAGTGATATGTGCCTTCTCACCTTTTCGCCTCCGACGGGCCTCTGAGGCCTGAAAGTGGCTCCAAGATCGCCCGAGAGAGTCCCAAGAGGGGCCCAGAGCTGCGACCAGATAGCCTCGAAGACCTCCATGCGCTCCAGAGGGGCAGCGCTAATTCGCGCCCCCCCCCGACGTCGACCATGACTCCAAGAGGCCACAAAAGACGACTACCCTGGTACGGCTCTAAATGGCCCCCGAGCATGCCAAGGCGATCCCCGACAAACCACAATCCTTCAAACACCACCTCTGGCTTTGCCTTTTCACCTCAGATGGACCTCTGAGGCCTGAAGATGGCCCCAAGATCGCTCAAGCGAGCCCCAAGAAGAGCCCAGAATAAGTCCAAGACGGCCCCAAGAGCGCCCAAGAGCGTTCGAATACCGTCGCAGGGGGGCCCCAAGAGGCGACGGTTGGTGTTCTAAAGGGGCAGCGCTAATCGGCACCACTCCCTTCCCATACAGAAAACAACTGAAGACACCCGAAGTGTTTGAATGAGTCGTACTGTTCGGAGGTATGATTGGAAGGCGTGCTGGGCCAAGGTGGCCCCAAGATGGAATTGGCTCAGTATTCCCTCCTACATGCCTCCAACTGGCCCCAAGACAAACCTACGACGGCTCCAAGCTGCCACGGAGCGCTCCAAGGACGCCCCCAAGGCCCAACCCCTTCCAAACCGTAGTATGATTTTGCAGATGTTCTGGATTCTCGAAATCTGCCAGAATGAGCCACGAGAGCCCCTGAGGGGCCAAGAAGAAGCCGGAGCAGACCCCAAAATCACCCAGAAACGTCCCAAGAGTGATCGACGAGGGCCTGAACAAACGAGATGTTCTTGCTCTCGGGGGAAGCAGTGCTAATCCATGCCGCCCGCCTGTTTGATCGATGACCTCTACGGTGGCCCAGGGCGCGCTCGGGCCCCCAATGAGGACCCCAGTGGCTCCCAGAAGGATCGCAAAGAGGTCTACAAGAGGCCTCGAAGAGGTTCCTTGTGGTCTCCGCGCGCACCGTCGTTGGTCTCCATGTGTTCATCTACACCCCTCCTCCCGACAACTCACCAGGGCATCGTTTCTGGATGGGCTCGTGAGGATTTGTTGATCGCGACCGCGGCGAGAAGGTCGGGCGGCGTCAAGGGGCGAAGCACAGGGGCGACGGCCTAAATTAGCGCACGGGAAGAGGAAAGCGAAAAGAGACAATACCAAGCAGGGGGTGAGGCAACAGGAAGCGGGCTCGCGAGGATACGCAAAGCTTCAAGAACTTGCGTGTTGGCGGCTCCCCCGGGCACTGGCGCTGGCTTTCCCTCGGAGACCAGCTGCCTCGGGTCAATGCAAACAAGGCTCAGTCAGGCCCTGCAGGATCCTGCATGCTAACCGGATCAATGCAGCCCTAGCACTGCAGGATCCTGTAGGATCCTGCGCGCTAGCCCAGGTCAATGCACCCCTGGCTATGCAGGATCCTGCTATGTTCGGCGCCCTGACTGACCCCCGTGTGCTTTGACTACCGTCTGTTGTCAGCGCCCCTCTAACGGGGACTCCACTAACAGGTACTTTGGCCAGTGACCCTGCGAACCTAACCCTCCCCGATGTGGGCAACGCTGCAATGCCAAAAAAAGACCCTAAAGTGGCAACTTTCGGCATAATTTCAAAGTACCCGACAGTAAATACCCGTTACGGTGCCGTTGATCTTGAGCGGTTCCCTTGCCGGGCATTTCCGCCGGCTCGGCTCTGTCCACGGCTGCCCCGAGATTTGGCGCTCGCCCTCGGATGCCGCCAACTGCCGCGGTGTGCTCTGCATACCCTGCTGTGGCAACGGCCGTGGGCGCAGCGACTGGCCGCCGCCGCCAGGGAATCTCCATGGCGGCGACTGTCCAAGTGCCTGGTGCGAGCCCTCCGTCGGAGTCTGTGTATCCTAGGGCGCGGCCTTGTCTTCAAAAAAATCGTCGGCTATCCGCTCAGAGCAGAATAACGAGGCCTGGATCACCGAGAACAGAGACGGACGGTGCAAGAAGTAGGTAGGACGGGAGAGAGATGCAAAGGCAAGCAGCAGCAAGGCGACTTCTTCCTTCCCCCTCCTCCTCCTCCTCCTCCTACTCCTCCTCCTCCTCCTCCTCGTCTTGCCCCTCCTCCTCCCCCTCCACCGTGTCCTCCGCCTCCTCCTCCTCCTGCCCCTCCTTCTCCTCGTCGTCCTCGTCGCCGTCTTCAGGGTCGGCGGCACTGGCCGTAAGGCCTTCACAATCGTCTTCTGCAGATGCCTACAACAAATTGGTCAAGCACTGCTTCAACATTGACTCGAGATCAGCCCTGCAGGATGCGCAGGAGACTCAAAGCGCGTGCAGAGTCTTTGGAAAGAATTCCCAAAAATCAAGGTGCGTGCATCTAACACGTGGGTAAAGAGATGAGGAGAAGGACAAGGCTAGCTGGCATGCTGCAGAGTCTGGCAGTGGCTGGCTGGGACGGCGTTTGCCAAGGCTCTAAAAAACTGCCATGGACTTGTTTTCCGCGCCCAACCGCTTACCCCTACCCGATCCAGGCATGGGTGTTGAGGTTTTTCTTTGCAAAGACGTGAGGACTGCTCACCTCTACCGCATGGCAGAATGTGAAGAGACTTCTGGGGCTTCATGCGTTCATACAACCAGGCTTCGTAAAACCAGGCTTTGAGCAGCCTGCTCTTGTTCTCTGCCCTCTTCTCCTCCTTGCCATATTTCATTGTGGGTCAAATTCTGGGATGAGTGTGCAGCTGCTCCCATCCCTCTCCTTCTCCTCCTCCTCCTCCTCCTCCGCCTCCGCCTCCTCCTCACCCTTCCTTGGACTGCTCTCGTAGAATCTCCGCGACGCTCGGTTCAGTATAACAACTTGAGATCTACGCAAAAGACGGATGGCGCGGTGCCTCGACACAAAACCTGGCGCAGGCAGCGGCGACGCCGCCTCGACAATCCGACGCACCCTCACAGTGGACCACCGACAGATCGGTGAACATGTCTCGGGGTTCAGAGCGGAAGCGATGTCACAAGTGAGACCGCCAGGCGGAAAAGCAGTACACGGCTCGGACGCGACTGTTCTCCACAATAATATGAAAAGAGACGGTTGTTTATATATATAGAGAGATAGAGAGAGAGAGAGAGAAAAACAAAAAAAAAAAAAAAACAAAAAAAAAAAAAAAAAAAAAAAAAAAAAAACGTATGGAGTTCCGCGCGGATTTCTTGGATCGGCGCTCGACCCCCCTCCCTGGCGCGCGGGGCGCGCCACGGGGGTGCGCCGCCAGGCGGAGCCAAGCGCCGATTCATGAAATCCGCGCGGAACTCTAAAACAAACAGGCTGACTGTGTGCGATTGTTTCGAAGGATTGCAAAAAAAAACCCAGGATTGCAAAAAAAAAAAAAAAAGGATTGGTTTTTTGCAATCCTTCGAAGGGTTTTTTTTGCAATCCTTGGCTTTTTTGCAATCCTTCATTCGGCTCTTCTGGCCTGGAGCACGAAGAGACTGTGCTGCAGCTTCAGGGCGGTCTCAGCGGCGGCATGGACGTGGGAGCGGTGGGGAGCGGGGTGGCTCCGTCTTCGGTGCAGGGCTGCAGCACAACAGCCGGAGCTGGCCCAGTCGCAGTGTTCCTCTCGAAGATCTAGAGGAACAAAAAAACGACAAAAACATATGTGTTCGAAATTCCAATCGGGTTGCTTGGATCTGCGCTGGACCCCCTCCCTGACGCACGAAGCGCGCCAGGGAGGAGCGTCGGAGGCGCCACAAGTGGGGACCAGCGCAGATCCAATGAATCCACGCGGAGCTCCGAAAATGTATGCTTACGCAGTTATTTTCTCCTGGAGGATTAGGGTCAGGCCAACATCAGGCCCACAGGCAGAGTTTCCTTTCATGGCGTCCACCAGCTCGTCCAGGGAACCGATCAACGAGGCATCTGCCAGAGTCTGTCGCCAACTCCCCCCCTGCGTTCCACCGACGAAACTTGACATGACGTCCGTCCAGCCAGATCTGTCGTACCCTTCGGTGGCAATCGTCAGCGCTTGCAGCACATCGCCAGGCAAGATGTTCCCAGAAGCCGCTGCAGAACCCCCAGGGATCACTTTCTCTACCACGAAGGCGCCGGCGAGATCACCACTGTACTTTTTGGTCAGCTGCAGCCCGAGTGGCATACTGGCCTGCACCAAATAGAAAGCTGCACATTTGCCGAAGTATCGCACGAGCTCTATTGAATCCTCGAGCTCTTGCTGCGGCAACTGTATCTTGAAAATCACGGGCGTGTTCGCAGCTACGTCACGCATGTCCTCGTAGTCCTTCTCACCATCGCTCAAGGCGACGAGCTGCTCTTCGAGGGCAGCATTGGCGGCGGCAATGCTCGTATACATCTGAAACCAATCGACTCCGCCTTCATCGGGCAAGCACGCAGGCGCATCCACCACTGAGCCCTTGGCCTCCAGTTGCTCGCGAAGGAGGCCCTGGCGTTCCAGCTCGAGCTGATAAGCCTGCCTCATGGCCTCGTCCCCGGGTGCCGTAGGCGAGGCAGCTCGCCGTACAACCCCGCTGAGATGGCAAGGCGTGGGGCTGTGCATGCACAGCCCCCCAAGGTTGTCCAGCTGGCCTCAGCAGGCCCAGGCAGTAAAAATTGTGGGCAATATATCTCTCTATATATATATATACATACATATATACATATATATATATATAAATATATGTATCCTCGAGTGCGTCTTGGACTTTCTTGGGAGGGGCGCCGCAAGGCCGAGGCGCACTGGATATGGATACGAACTAGGCTCCGGGGTCCCCGATCTTCATACATACACATCCAGTGCGCCTCATGTCTCTGGGGGAAGGGTGCCCGAAACTCCAAGGCGCACTGGCTGTGGATATCTTAGACATCGGCCGCACTGCAGGCCGAGGCGCCTGGACCGGGCTCAAGACCCTGGGGCGCGGGGCGCCCCGTGTGGAGTGCCGCCAGAGGCGGCGCAGAAGTGCCCCGACCGCACGTCGGCGAGCCGAGGGGCCTGCTGAGGCCAGCCGGGGCTGCAGCAGTGCGCCCGGATCAGACCCATGGGTCGGGAGAAGTATCAGGGGGACGTAAGACCTGGGTACAGGGGACTCGGAAATCCCCGACGAAGGTCGTCAAAAAAATGACGAGGCCGAGCCTGCATTTTGACGAGGCCTCCCGCTGCAGACATCCCACGAAACTCCTCCTCTTCAAAATCCGAGGCGCGGTCGTCAAAAAACGATGGCGAACCCGAGTCCTGGCAAACCCAGGTCTTACGCTCCCCCGAAAGTAGGCAGAAGCATGAAGTAGGAAGGCGTTGAACATAGATTGGGTATCCGCCCGCCCCCGAAAAAGAGGACGGAGAAGGTGAAGCCACTCGATCATTTTGAAGGAGGAAGGCGCTTAAAGTAGATTAGAACCTGGGGCTCCAAAATAGACCTTCTTTCAACGACGGATGGGTACGGATGCGCGGCAAGGATGCAAGGCCCTTTGACGCCCAAAAATCGACGCCGAAGCTGAAAGCCCATGGCCATTGGCTATACGGGCTGGGGGAAGGGCCCAGGGATGCAAGGGCACCCTTGTGAGATCACTCATCCTTTTGATAGGGGAAAGAAATGACATAAACATTAAAAACTCCGAGGTCCGCGCGGATTTCTCGGATCGGCGCTGAGGCCCCCCTTGGCGGCGCCTCAAGCGCCGCTCCTGGCGCGCTCCGCGCGCCAGGGAGGGGGGTCCACTGCCGATCCGAGAGAAATCCGCGCGGACCTCCGAGTTTGTATGTTTATGTCATTGTTCGTTCCCCTATCCGATGCGGATTTTGACCGTACCCCTGGGGGGGGGCCTGCGCGCAGCTCCAGGCCTTGCCCCACGGAGAAGGCACCCTGACACACCCCAACGCTCTGCCTGGCCAGGGCCTCCCTGAGCCCCGGCGTGGCGCCAACACCCCGCCCCGGCCAGGGCCAGGGGTGTCTGTGCGCAGCGCGTGAGGGAGGGCGAGGCGTGCGAGGAGGGCGAGGAGGCGAGGGGGAGGAGGGGGAAAGGGGGCGAGATGGGAGGGGCCCCCTGGCCCAGGATGGCCCCGGCCCGGCGCTCTGCTGTGCGCAGAGGCCTTCTCCGGCGGCGGCCAGCCCCAGGGGGGGAAGCGAGATGGGGGCGGGCTCTCCCCGAAGGCCGGGGGGCCGTCTGTGAGGAGCCCCGCCGCCTTCTGCAGAGCCTCCTCCCTCCCCCCCCTCCCCTGACCTTCCAGAGAGCTATTTTTTTAGCACTGGATACCTAAAAACCTAAAAAGCCGAGCGAAACAGCCTAAAACCAAGACGTAGAATAGCTTTGGGATAGGTTTTTAAGTCGGGAGCTATTTTTTTAACCCTCCTGGAAGGTCAGGGTCCCCGCTCGCCGCCGACTGCTGCGGGCGCCACCGCCAGGCCTCCCGCGCGACCGCGCCGCGGGCGGGCGCGCTGCTCCCGGGGCCCCCCCGGCAGCCCAGGCGCCTCCGCCCCGGGCGGCGAGCCGCGGCCCCGCGAGCGCGAGCGCGCCGGCGAGGGCCAGCGCGCGGAGCGCGGCGCCGCCCCGGGCGCGCCCGCAGGAGGGGCCCGGCATGGCGGTCGCGCGGGCGGCGGCGGCCGGGAGGAGCAGCGTCCCGGGAGCGAGCGGGGAGGGGTGCTCGCCACGAGTTACCAGCCTGGAACATATCCCTATCCCTATGATGTGCTGGGCACCTCCTCACGGTGCCGATCTTAGGGATTGGCATCGCCTTTTGGCGTGTCAATCTTAGGGATAGGGATACGTTCGAGGCTGGTGAACGAGAGCGGCGGGCACGCCTCCGCAGCCGCGCCCTCGCGGTCGGGGTTCTCTGGAGTCCGGGGCGCGCTGCCGCGCGGGCGCGCGGTCGCCCGGGTGCGCTCCGCGCCGAGACGTCCGCGAGGCAAAGCGCTCCGCATGTGCGGGGTCGCGGCCCAAGCGCTCGGGCGGCCTGGTCCCTGCAGAGGCCTCCGGGGATCTCTGGAGGCCTCCGGGGGCCCCCTCGAGGAGGGAGGAGGACATGCCAGGCTATAGACAGCGTCGCGGCGCTGCTTCCCTGAGGGCGGAGGTGGACAGGCGCGCGGGAACAGATGCTCGACGCCGGCGACGTTCGCTGCAGCGAGATCTGGGAGCGCGAGGGGGTTGGGGCCCCGCTGGGGGCCCAGATCTGGCCGACACCAGCGCAGCCTCCCAAAAGGCCGACCGCCGCATCCCCGATGTGGTGGGCATCGGCAGGTGCTTCGCCAAGCGCCCACCTGAGGTCCAGGTCCCGAGGCGAGGTCTCACTCTCGCATTCCGCCGCCCCTCCCTGGGCGAGGGCAGATCTTCGGTCCAGGGAGAGAAGCGCGGTGAGTGGCTGTCTTGCGTCGCCCCGCTGCCGGTGGACGCCGCGCTGGCTTGAGCCAAAAGGGCTATGGACTTGGGTTGATAGGTCGAATGTGCTGCCACCTGCGCGCAGTGAGATAGTAAGAGACACCGTCCGAACCTTAGAAGTGGAGGGCTTCTGAGAAGTCCCGCCGCCTTCTTAGAAGGCCTTCTCCTTCTCATTTCCTCCCCCTCGCTCGCCGCCGACTCACATACCAAAATCATGGGCTGCCTCACGCCTTTGCCCCGTCCCCGCCCTCTCCCATTTCCCCCTCCTCCAGCAGCCCTCCGATCGCACTCAACCCCATTCCCCCTTTACACCTCGCTCCCCCAATCCCCCCCGACTTCCCCCGATCCCTCCACACGTCTTCTTCTGCCGATCGTGTTCCTTCTCCTCATGCCCCCCTTCTCCCGACCTCCTCCCTCATGACCCCCTCCCTCCTCCAGCAGGGCAAGTGGTGGAAGCTGAACTGAGCTTACACTGCAACGTGCGACAGACGCGTGTGGAGAGTGAGGAGGACGAAGAGAGCTGCCGAGCTCAGCTGACGAGGTCGTCGACATGGATGCATCTCGTGGACCTCGGGAGCGGCTGCGCACCGCAGCGCGCTTCTCCGCCACGTCCACGCCGCTCACCGTCTGTGATGCGCAGCCCTCCCGTTCCACACTTGGGCGAAACCGCCCGCGCGGAGGGTGCGGCGCGACGCGCGGCCAGCTCTGCCTCAACAGCGCTCCGCCAGCTCCGTGCGAGCCGCCACTTGCCCGGGTGCCCAGCTCGTCCGTGGACATCCTGCCGCAACCGTCGAGCAGCAGCCCGCGCCGCGCGGCAGCTCGGCGCCGAACACCTTTTGGTTCTCTCCTGGGGCCTCCGCGGGGGGTGCACGCTGCCCCCAGGTCATGCCCGCCAGGCGTGCGCTGAGGCCCTGGGCAATCTTCACGCCGTCGCCAGTGGACTGACTACCGGCCAACCCACCCCAACCAAACCCGAAGTCACAGTTGGACTCGTCGATTTCCACTGGGGAGGCACTCAAGAACATTGAGGAAACATGATGGAACCCGTGCACCCCCGAATCCGAAATGTTGGGTGGTCATCGGGTTGGGTGAGGACACCTTGGTAAGCAGAGATGGCCTGCGCCCCCAGCGTCGTGGGTGAGCTGGCCAAGCCGGGCCAGTGGCTGAGCAGCAGGCCCTCTGCCTTCTTGCGGCACCGTGCCCGGAACGCCTGGGGCGATGATAAGGGAGGCACCCTCGAGCAAAGTGCCGGAGTCGCTCACCGCAGCGATGGTGCGCCAGCCTGGGCCGCCCCGCGCAACGCAGATCAGCCTATCTCTGGCGAGTAGGCTCCAGCGGCCCGGCGACTGGGCCGCGGCCTTCTTCGGGATGGACTCTGGCCGAGAAAATAATCCCCGCGACAAGGAAGGCGCTCGGGGGCTGCACCGTGCGTCACAGCGGCGTCGCCTCCGAGCTGGGTCCGCGCGCAAGAGTCGACGCCAGCGCGGCCCCTCAGCCACGAGACCGCCCCGCGGAGTCCCTCGCCAGCTTCTCTGTCAGGGTTGCCTGGCCAATGGGCGCCACCACATTTCTTGTGGTGTTACTGATGAGCGACTCGACCAGTGGTGTCCAGCGCCGCGTTGATGCCCAAGGATGGCTACCTGTCCGCCAGCACCACCCGCGCGCCGCGGCACGTGCCTTCCGCTCATCCTCCTCCACTTTCACAGCTCCTCCACTTGCACCACACCCCTCCTTCACCTCCTCTCCCTCCTCCTCCTCCTCCTCCTCCTCCTCCCTCCTCCTCCTCCTCCTCCTCCTCCTCCTCCCCACCATCCACCTCCCTCGTCGTCCCTCCTCCCCTCCCTCCTCCTCCGACTGTTCATCCTCCTCCTCCTCCTCCTCCTTCTCCTCCTCCTCCTCCTCCTCCTCCTCCTCCTCCTCCTCCTCCTCCATACCCTCCTTTTACTGCTACTCTTCCCTCTTCTCCTCCACCATCAGTCTGTCCCTCCTCCTCTCCCTCTTCACCCGCCTCCACCTCCGCCAGCGGCGAAGCCGACGACCCAGGCGCCGACGACGCCGACGATGCCAAAGGCGCCGAAGCCGACGACGAGGGCGCCGACGACGGCCGACCCCTGGACTTCTCCTGGAGCACCCGCTGGTCAGGATTCACGGCGGATCTAACCGAGGCAGCGAGGGCGCCCTCTGAAACTCGCAAAAACATCGCAGCGCTCAGCTCGACCCCCAGCGGAGACGACGCCGACGCCGACTATGCCGACGCCGACGACACCGACGCCAACGCCGACGCCCCGGATACTGACGGCATCGGCCCCGCCGCCGCCTATGCGAACGCCGACGCCCAGGACGACAACGACGCCGAGGCTGGACGACGACCCGAGGAGGTCCCCAGAGGCCTCCAGGGAGACCCCCAGAACCCTCCAGAGGCCCCAAAAGAACCAACATAGCTTCCAGACACTTCGATCATCAATGATCGATGCTCGACGACATGGCCGCCGACTCCGACTCCGACGCAGACGGCGGCAACGACGGCGACGACGGCAACGGCGACGACGACGACGACGGCGACGACGAAGCTCCCGCCGAAGACGCCTGCGACCCCCGGAAACCTCTGAAGGTCCCTGGCCCTCCAGAGCTCCCTGGAGGCCTCCAGAGCTTCAGCATGCAAAGATTTGGACACCCAAACTGGGTGCGGAAATTATCCTGGCGAAGGACCCAACCATATGCAATTGTGAGTACCGCAGTTGTGAATATCTTCTTCGGTGGAGCCCCCTACGGGGCCACGAAACGTACGAGGGGTGTGCCGAAATGGGTGTGCGGGACGCATGCGGGCACACCCACTGGGGCCTTCGGTGGAGCTCCCTATGGGACCACAAAACGTGCGAGGGGTCACGAAACGCGTGAGGGGTGTGCCGAAATGAGTGTGCGGTACGCATGCGGGCACACCCACTGGGGCCTTCGGCGGAGCTCCCTATGGGGCCACGAAACGTGTGAAGGGTATGCCGAAATGGGTGTGCGGGACGCATGTGGGCGGCAGCACTGGGACCTTCGGTGGAGCCCCTCTACGGGGCCACGAAACGTGCGAGGGGAGTGCCAAATTGGGTGTGCGGGACGCATGCGGGCACACCCATTGGGGCCTTCGGTGGAGCTCCCTATGGGACCACGAAACCTGTGAGGGGTCACGAAACGCGTGAGAGGTGTGCCGAAATGGATGTGCGGGACGCATGCGGGCACACCCACTGGGGCCTTCGGTGGAGCTCCCTATGGGGCCATGAAGCGTGTGAAGGGTATGCCGAAATGGGTGTGCGGGATGCATTCCCTATGGGGCCACGAAACGCGTGAGGGGTGTGCCGAAATGGGTGTGCGGAACGCATGCGGGCGGCAGCACTCTGGGGCCTTCGGCGGAGCTCCCTATGGGGCCACGAAACGTGTGAGGGGTGTGCCGAAGTGAATGTGCGGGACGCATGCGGGCGGCAGCACTGGAGACTTCGGCGGAGCTCCCTATGGGGCCACGAAACGTGTGAGGGTGTGCCGAATTGGGTGTGCCTGACGCATGCGGGCGGCAGCACTGGGGCCTTCGGCGGAGCTCCCTATGGGGCCACGCAAACGTGTGAGGGGTGTGCCCAATTGGGTATGGGTGACGCATGCGGGCGGCAGCACTGGGGCCTTTGGTAGAGTTTCTTCCCTATGGGGCCACGAAACGTGTAAGGGGTGTGCCGAACTGGTGTGCGGGACGCATGCGGCAGCACTGGGGCCTTCGGCGGAGCTCCCTATGGGGCACGAAACTCCGAATTGGGTGTGGGTATGGGCGGCAGCACTGGGGCCTTCGGCGGAATGGGGCCACGAAGGTGTGAGGGGTGTGCGAAGTGGGTGT